TCTCCTCAGCAGCTCCAAGCCCTCCTGCAGCAGCAGCAGGCAGTCATGCTGCAGCAGGTAATGTGGGTTACCTGCTTTGGTGTTCTAGCCTGGCTCAGAAGGTGTGGACTCCTGTTTACAGTGCGGTGGGCAGGCTTGACAGTTCAGCCTCCATGTAAGGGTACAATACATCAACATGCTAGACCATAAATGGAACATCTTCATTGTAATTGCACAACTGTATGAGTAATGTATATGCCTTATTCTTTTAAAATTTATTCAAGTCTAAAATAAGAGAGAAAGATATGTAATTTGAAAGTGGAAATGGATCAGCATATAAATATCAGAATACTCAGGCACATTTGATTTGTAGATTTATCAACAAAATTGCAAAGAAACTTATCACACAGGCTTTTTTTTTAACTCTTAATGCCTTAGTCCTCCTTTAATTTCACATATATGTGAAGTGTAACTGAAAATTTTGTTAGCATGAAGTAGTGTCCTAAATTTACCTCCCTTAAAATATGATATCATGACATAAAAGAATAATTAACTTATTAGAATAAAGTTAGGTGCAGTTAAGCCAGATTTATTATTTTTAAAATAATAAAAATAGTGTTCTAATATGATCTTATTGGAGCCTTGAATAAATAAAAATTAAACTTTATATTATACACTTGTTTATCATTAAACTTTATATTATATACTTATTTATCGTGGAGAAACTAATGTGCTTTAACCTCAGTTTTTATTCTCTTACGCTGGTATCATCTCTGACGATGACCACAGAGCAGTCATATTTCTAAGTCTGACATTGCTCCAAACACCTGATGGACTAAATTGTTCTTTAAATAAGTACTGGACTGCCTGGTTTCATGGAACGAACTTTTGATTCTTATGAGTGATGAGTATAACTCACTTTATATGCTAGTAGAACTTCAGATGTGATCATTTAGAATATTAATTTGACTCTTGTCCTTTAGAATACAGATTTTCTATACCCTTTTGTGTAGGATTTTTTTGGATTTTGCATTGGAAAATTTCAGAGCTGCCATGGAGGGGGGTGTGTAGAGCTGTCTCTCTGAGTCCAATGCATATCTTTTTTTGTCACTTTTTGTGAGGTGAATCTTAATGGCTACTCTACCATGTGCCAGTCTAGAAGAGTTTAGGAGATATATAATACATGAAACTTTTGCCTTTATTTATTAAAGTCAAAATGGTTTATTCAGCAACAACTACAAGAGTTTTACAAGAAACAGCAAGAGCAGTTACATCTTCAGCTTTTGCAGCAGCAGCAGCAGCAACAGCAGCAGCAGCAACAGCAGCAGCAGCAACAGCAGCAGCAGCAACAGCAGCAGCAGCAACAACAGCAGCAGCAGCAGCAACAGCAGCAGCAGCAGCAGCAACAGCAGCATCCTGGAAAGCAAGCGAAAGAGGTAGGAGCTGGTTATTTCATTGACATATGAGAGTATGAGGTTGTGAAGGAGCTTTGAGAAGCGAGAATAGTCTTAGATCTTCCTGTAACAAGGCTCTTGCTGTCAAAGATGCAATGTCATATATTTTTTCTGAGCTTAGTAACACTGACAGTGGAACTCTCCTGCTCCCCTTGTGTAGCATGGGACTTGAGAATCACAATCGGATGTTCCTGTCATCTAACGTTCCCTAATGAATCACAGTGTACAAAGAGCAAGCTGTGTAGTGGACAAAGTACTGATTATCTTGTATTCACTGAGAACCGAAGTTGGTGAGGGAACCTTATTTTTCTCAGTGGTGCAGTTCAGAGAACATGCATGCAAATTTAGCCCATTGTTGGAGGTGGGAGACAAGGGGAGAAACTGGTTGAGCACAGATTTCAAAGTCACAGGCCCCTGATTAATGAACTGCTACTGTAGGTTTGGAGTGGCGAGTAGAAAGTTACAGTTTGATATGCTCATAAATCAAACTGACAAGCTGGCTTCTCAGGCCTAGCTTGCACTTGTCAGCAAACTGCATCAAATATAAACATAATACAAACAAAACATGTTGAAGTAGTTAAATTGATCAGCAGGTATCAGGGCTGTTGTCTTCAAGCTGCCCATTATGCAAACGTAGAGGAAACAGTTTTGACCTCCTGAGGCTTTGTTTCTGTTTGGATTTGTGAATAGAATTTCAGACAGCCATCAACTCCAGAATAGAAATTGCTCTCTTATTTCTCTGGAGGCTTTGGGCAATCCACATGACTTGCTCCATTATGCAGTCTGTTTTCCAGTGAGCGCATCAGAAGTTTCTCTTTTCCCCAAACTAAAAAGGAAAGGTCTTCCACAGCAGCTTGTCTTCCTCTGAAGTGTGACTGCTATCTCTCATACCCTCCCGAGTCCCAAGAACTATGGTTTGTCTTGTAATGCCTCACAAAATTGGAAGTTATACTTTTCCTGATAATAAGGGCACTTTTTTTTGCCTTGAACGTAATTCTGCCTTTAATATATTCCAACTGGAGAGAAGAGAAAGAGGCAGAGAGCTAACAGGCTTGTCCTGTGAAGGCTACATCCCAGTTTACTAATAGATCACTAGAGACCACATTCATGGACCTCTGAGGGTCAAACACATTCAGCTGGAAAAATAAAAGAGTATCAGAAGTTGACCATTTCTATAAAGTGTTATTCTTTTTATCCAGATAAATGATTATCTGTAATAAACTGATTTTTTAAAAACCTCAACCTTTGTCACATACTATCTCTAGAACTTGTTCGGAATTCTTCGTGCAAGTTCCCTGCTTCTTTGTGGCTGTTTAATATTTGAGGGAAAGGCAACTGAAACTCTAGACCTTGCTCATTCTGCCACTGAACTTTGACCACAGGGTGACCAAAAACCTGTCGGGATAGCCAAGGGTGCACGCATTTCTCTGTGAGAGCGGTTTGCGTTGGCCATGTTCTCCGCTGTTCACTGAGTTGGGTTTCTTGACATCATCACCAGCAGCAGCAGCAACAGCAGCAGCAGCAACAGCAGCAGCAACAGCAGCAGTTGGCAGCCCAGCAGCTCGTCTTCCAGCAGCAGCTTCTCCAGATGCAGCAACTGCAGCAGCAACAGCATCTGCTCAGCCTGCAGCGCCAGGGACTTATCTCCATCCCACCAGGCCAGGCAGCACTTCCTGTCCAATCACTGCCTCAAGGTACAGACAAAACCTTGTGCACGCTCATTTCTACTCTTGCACTTTCTAGCATTTCACGGCCTGTCTTCTAACTTGAAAATTTTTGTTTTTATGGCCTTCAAGTTTATTAATAAAACATAATTGTTAACGTGGTTGCATGACTATTTTCTTGAGACAAAAATGTTACCATGCATGCACTGCTTTCAAGTGTTTTGTTAGATATTAAAAGTGCATTTATTAGACTTATGGGTAGAAAATAATTCATAAGGGCAACACAATTCAAGCACTATTGAATATACAGAATGAGCTGTAGGGAATTGGATTACTGGGAAAGCTGACAACCTTCCATTTAATGTAAGTGAGTTCTGGTGAACAACTGGTAGAAAATAAAACTAAAAGATCCTAGTCTTTACACTGAAATCTCTATACATAAAAGAGAAGCTTTACTTATTTCTATGGAGTACTTTCTGGAGTTATGTTTTATGGAAACCCATCGTATTGTCATGGGATTATATTGACACTCTTTTCTCTAAAATAGTATTGTGGGCATATATGTTGGGCCTTATGGCTTTGCGGGGCTATAAACTACATTCTTATTTGCTTTTCAGTACACGAAATCTCCCAGTGTACCGTAATCCAATGTATTTTTGTATAATTCTTACCTTTGGAAAGAAGTCTAAGTAAAGTGGAAAAATAATGGGTGCCAAAATTGTCAGTTCAGTTAAAACTTATATATCATTAAATTTCACAGAAAGATATTTTTATTTGCATTTGGATTTTGTTGGAATAAATATTAATCCTAGTGAACTTTTATTCAAGTTAATTATATCTGTCACAGAAGGATTCCCATTCTAGAAATGTTTGCCAGTTTTTTCTGACTCTCTAGGACATACTGAAGAAAAGCAAAAACTGTTAAGTATACACAAATTAAAATTAGGCAAGTAAAGTGTGATCATTGTTGGATGGCACATGAAATTGAAAGTATTGTGATAAATAAAATTAGTCTCTCTTCAGTATTTTTTCCCAGAATTCCTTCTTTCACTTGATTTCAGATCTTTTAATTCACCTGATGGAATCACTCCTAGGAAAACAGGAAAGATAAAGTTTAAATATTTAAATAAAAAGAAAAACAAGGCAATATACTCACTTTTCTGAGCTGTTCCAAAGAGGATTGAATAAACTATAGTGTCATCACAGTATTGAATGCTTTATTCGTTCTTTAGAAAATGAAATACTATTTGAGGACAAATAAAGAAATAGCTTAAAAAAGACAGGAGTTGGTAAATTAATTCAATGTAAACCTAGATTTCTTTGATACAAACTATACTAAAACAGAAGCAATACTTTCATCTCTGGCATTTTTTCAGTAAAATTTAGATAAAAATCTGTATATAGAATATAACTGTATGAGTATTTTCTCAATAGAAAAGGATTATTTGCCAGAATCTCATTTTAATATCATCACTAAAACATTTCAAGAAAGTTTAATTATGTACACATGGAGATACAATGTAACGTATTGAAAATATATTTTAAAATGACCATTATTCCCCAAAAACAATAAAATTCATTGAGCAGTGAAATTTATTATGATATCTAACACTTTTAGTATAAAATTTCACTTACTTTTGAGGTTCCCTTTGAGAGAATTGTCTCCGTGGCTCTTTTCTTCTACTCTGTGCTCCCCAGTGTATGTACAAGAGGTGGCAAGTTTAAGGGGAAAGGCTTTGTGGTTTGAGCAGAACACTTATAATTCAAAGGAAAAAATGAAATGACTACAACACATTTCCACTAAAGAAGGTGAAAAAATACATTTAAATAAATGCAGGGTTAAAACTTTAGCTGATTCACTCACCAAAGTTCTGTTGGTGCCAAGAAATGAGCACTAACAGGGGCCATCTTCACATTTTTCAACATTTAGAAGATTAAATATGAAAGAAATTAGAGAAACAACCCCTTTTACAATAGCATCCAAAAGACTGAAATACCTAGGAGTCGATCTAATGAAGGAAGTAAAAAAAGGAGATCAAAGAGGATATCAGAAAGTGGGAAGATATTCCTTATTCCTGGATAGGACGAACCAATATAGCGAAAATGGTGTACTTTCAAAATTGTTTTACAGATTTAATGCAATCCCAATCAAAATCCCAACAGCATATCTCACAGAATTAGAAAAAAAAATCCTAAAATTCATTTGGAACCAGAAGAGACCAAAAACAGCAAAGCCAATTCTGGGCAACAAAGGCAAGGCAGGGGGTATAACAATGCCAGACTTTAAGTTATAATACAAAGCTGTTGTGATAAAAACAGCAAAAGAACAGACCTGAGAATTAATGGAACAGACTTGAAGAGGCAGAAATAATTCCAGACACACTCAGCTACCTTATCTTTGACAAAGGAGCCAAACACCTTCTCTGGAAGAAAGAGCCTCTTTAACAAATGCTACTGGAAAAACTGGCTTTCCACATGTCACAGATTGAAACTAGAACCATATCATTTACCAAAAATCAAAATGGATCAATGATCTAAATATTAAAAAGGAAACACTAAATCTGATGGAAGAGAGAATAAGTAGAACACAGGACATAGGAGTAGGCAAAGAGTTCATGAACAAAACCCAGACTGTGTGGGAAAGAACGAACAAATGGAGCATCATTAAAAAGCGTTTGCACAGCAAGAGAAACTAACAGTGTGAAGAGACAACCCACAGCGTGGGAAAAAAATTTTTTTAACAGCTATTCATCAGATAAAGAACTATTATCTGGAATATATAAAGAACTAAAAAATCAGATTCCCCCCAAATTTAAAGACCCAATCCAAAAATGGGGATCTAAAATGAAAAGACACACCTCAGATGAATAATTAGAAGTGGCAAACAAATATATGAAAAATATTCAACATCACTGATCATTTGTGAAATGAAAAATAAAACAATGCTGATATTCCATCTCACTCCAGAAAGAATGGCTGCTATTAGGAAATTAATCAATAACAAAAGCTGGAGGGGCTGTGGGAAAAAGGGAGAACTTCTCCACTGTTGGTGGGAGTTCACACTGGTGCAACCACTGTGGAAATCAGTGTGGAGATTTCTCAAAGAACTAAAACTGGAGGTTTCATTTGACCCAATATTTCCCTTCTTGGTGTCTTCCCCAAAATATTAAAAGTATCATACCACAGCTATACATGCACATCCATACTTACAGTGGCAGAGTTTGTAATAGCTAAATCATAGAAACAGCCCAAATGCCAGTCAATAGATAAGAGGATAAAAAAGATGTGTGTGTGTATGTGTGTGTGTGTGTGTGTGTGTGTAATACAATTGAGTACTACTTTTCCATAAAGAAACTTGAGCTTCAGCTTTTTGTAACGAAATTGACAGACCTTGAGACCATATTCTTAAGTGAAATAATGAACATCTACAGACATTTTTCCTTGTAATTACACTGAGCAATAGAGTGTAACAGCTATTTACATAACCTTCATATTATTTGAAGTATTACAATAATCTAAATTATACACGAAGCAGTGTACAGGATATACACAAATTTTATATACATTATGTTACGTAAGGACTCCAATGTCACAGATTTTAGTATCTGCAGGGGCCTTGGAATAAGTCCTTCTTAGATATCAAGGAATCATTATAATGTTACAGTACTGTGCTTCAATCCCAAAATTAGGATGGGAAAAATTACAGAAGCAAATAAATTCCTGCATTAGTGGTAATTTTCGAGGCTTACAGTTTCCCAGTTCAGGCTCTATCAAGCTTTTCGTTGGTTGATGATTGACCATACCTTATGGCTGTGTGGAAACCAAATGGGATCACTGTGCAGTGACAGATGATGTTCTTTTTACATCTTTGGGGGGGGTGGTACTGGGACTTGAACTCAGGACCTTGCAAGGCAGGCATTGTAACACTGAGCTAAATCCCCAGCACGCATCATTTAAAATATGCTATATTTGGGCCGGGGATTTATCTCAGCGGTTCGGTGACCTGCCTCGCAAGCACAAGGACCTGAGTTCAATCCCCGGTACCACAAAAAAATGAAATAAAATAAAATATGCTATATTTGGACAGCAATGTAGCTCAGTTACTTCACTTCCCTTGGCTGTGCAAGGTCCTGAGTTCAATCCCCAGTAACAAAAAAAGCTATATTTTATTTATCTTTATAATTTAATACTACTTCCCCAGAATACTCTAAAGTTAGGAGTGTCTTAAAATGTTTTAAACTGCCTTGCAAGCACAAGGTCCCAAGTTTGATTCCTGGTACCAAAAAGAAACAAAAAACAAAACACACACACACACACACACACACAAATATATATGTGGAAATGAGCCCTTTGTCCACTATATCCGCAGCGCATTTGCTACTCAGCCATTGGCCCCTCAGATCTCTTTGTTATCAGATTGACTGTCATGGTATGAAGTGTCTTGGTTTGAATAAACTTTATTGCACTAACCGATGGCTCCAGATCTCTGCTCTGTTGCTGGCAATTCAGATACACCATAGGCAATTGGAAAGTACTTCCTTTATGGGAAGTTCTGAATTAATAAGAGGAGAAAATAATCAAATAATCATGTACTGAGATTGCTAAGATTTACAGTAACAACAAACATTCTATCTGTGAAACTGTCAAGAAGGAAAAAGAAATGTGTGCTAGCTAGTTTTGCCTCAAACCACAAAAGTTATGGCTACGGTGCACGATGAGTGCTTAGTAAAGATGGAAAAGGCTCCCTATGGTTGGAGTGAGGGCAGGAGAATGGGAAAAAAAAATAAGTACTGAGATACATCGTGTAAAGGTACAAATTCCCAATGATGCATATAACTGTATTGTATATCTAAAATGTACCAGCAAATTTAATGGAAGAAAAAAATTGAGTCACTAAAAAAAAAACGACAGAAAAGCTTCTAAATTAAAGTGTTTGGTGCTATCTACAGTTTCGGGCATCTTCTGGGGGTTTTGAAACATATTGCGCAAGGATAAAGCAGCTTATTGTATCAGCTATATATGAAAAGAAA